TGCATGTTCCAAAGTTCCCTTCAATTTATTATCTGTGAGCAAATTAACCAAATCGCTTCATTGCTCTGTAACCTTCTATCCTTCTTGTGTCTTTCAAGATCTAAACACAAAGAGTATGATCGACGGCGAGCATGAGTCAAACAGCCTATACTACTTGGATCATAACCTCATTAGCGCTGCTCTTCACTCTGATGATTCTCCTGCTTATGACATTGTCAGTTGGGTCATCCTTCTCTTGAGAACTTGAAGTTATTACTCCCTTCTTTAGAGCTTTTGTCTGCTTTAGAGTGTGAAGCTTGTCAGTTAGGTATGCACCATAGGCGTCATTTCGTACTAGAGTTGACAAACGGGGACTTGTTCTATTTATTGTGGTTCATTCTGAAATATGGAGTCCAACTAGAATACAAAGTTTGTCTAGTCATAGATATTCTGTAACTTTCATGGATCATTATTCACAAAGGCCATGGTTATAATAAATGAGAGATCAGAGATTTTCTCCATTTTTAAATTGTTTCACAAGGAGACCCAGGCTCAACGACAAGAATATGTGTATTTGGCATACTGATAATCCAAAAGAGTATCTTCCTAAAGAATTTCATAATTATTTTCTTGAAAATGGAATTTAGCACCAAATTTCTTGTGCGCATACTTTAACAAAATGGGATTCCTGAAAATCAAACCTTAATTGAAGTGGACCATTCTCTGCTTAGTAATATGCATGTTGTAAAGGGTTAATGTGAAGGTGCCTTACTAGCCGCATGCTATTTAATTAATCGCATGCCTTCGGCAGTCTTAAATGAAAAAACACCACCCTCAGTTCTCTTTCCTGATGCTCCACTGTTTGTTGTTCCTTCTCGAGTTTTTGGGTGTGTTTGCTTTGTTCATATGTTAGGTACTGGTAATGATAAGCTAGATCCCTGGGCTGTCAAGTGTATCTTTCTAGGGTATTCACACTTCAAGAAAGGTTATCATTGTTATCATCCTGGTTTACGAAAGAAATTTGTTTGTGATGATGTTACCTTTTTCAAAAATACTCCATACTTTTTAGAAGAGTCGTGTGCTTGATAAAAATATATGTTAAAATATCCTACTTGTGAAGAAGTCTCAAAGTCCTCACCTTCTATGAATCATTTTCCTACTCTTGTTCATACTTGCCCCAGTTGCCAACCAATGAATCTAGTATACCTACACATCGTGATGTTTCTCAAGAGCAGCCCATAAAAGTTTACACTAGAAGAAAAATGTAGGGTGGGTATCCTCCACCAACTCACCTAGCCACTCAATCATCATCTTTGTATGATGATGTACCGATTGCCATCTGCAAAGGTATCAAGTATTGTACTCAACATTCGATTGCACATTTTGTTATATTTACGAATTTGTCTCCATCATATCAAAATTTTGCTTTAGCTCTTTCGTTTATTACTGTTCCAAAGACCTACCAGAAAGCACTTTCTCATAGTGGGAGAAAGCAATGGAAGAGGAGATGGATGCCCTTCCTTCATATGAAACATGGGGACTCACTGAGTTACCAACTGGAAAAGGACTGTTCAGTATCAATGGGTTTATGTAAACAAATATCAACCTGATTTGGTATTGACTATTCTGAAACATTGCTCCTATTGAAACTTAGTTTAGTTCGAATGGTTATATCTGTGGCCACCAACAAGGGATGGCCATTGTGGCAACTTTATTACAAAACTGCTTTCCTCCATGGTAATTTACAAGAAGAGGTGTACATGGAACAATCACCTTGCTCAGGGGGAGATGAATAAAGTGTGTAAGTTCAAGAAAGCCATTTATGGCCTAAACCAGTCCCCATGGGCATGGTTTGAAAAGTTTAGTGAAATTGTTACAACATATGGATTTCGGTACAATTATGCAGATCATTCAGTGTTTATTTGGAAACATGACTCCAGAATAATGTTTTAGTTATATATATTGATGATAGTGTTGTTACTGGCAATGAAAGAAGGAATCAGTCATTTGAAGAGACATCTAAAACAACATGTCTGATCAGGGGGAGCTGTTTGAGGATCCAAGAAGGTACATAAAACCAGTTGGGAGGCTGATTTATTTGACCAGCACCAGACTTGATATTGCTTTTACAGTAAGTATTGTGCATCAATTTATGCATTCTCCAAGGATTCCTCACTGGGATGTTGTTCATAGAATTTTAATGTATCTGAAGGGAGCCCCAAGCCAAGGTTTAATTTATAAGCAAAATAGTCATTGAAGGTTACTTAGATGCTGATTGGGTAAGTTCACCATCTGAAAGGCGGTCTACCACATGTTATTATACATTTATTGGTGGAAACTTGGTAACATGGAGAGGTAAGTAACAAAATTTTGTGGTTAGATCTAGTGCAGAGGTTGAATATAGATCAATGGCACTGACTACATGTGAATTGATGTGGCTGAAAATACCAATGCAAGAAATGGGCTTTACTGTTGATGAACCCATGAAGATGTATTGTAATAGAAAAGTCCACCTATATAGCCAGTAATCCGGTGTTTCATGCAAGGACCAAGCATATTGAAGTTGATTGTCATTTTATCCGAGAAAGTTGTGAGTTAGTAGGCGTAATGTGCTATCTAAGGATCAACTAGCAAACATTTTCACCACAGGCCTTGGTTGTAATATGTTCCAAACTATTTGTTCCAAGCTAGGTATGGGTGATATTTATGCACCAGCTTATGGGGGAGTGCTAAACCCCTTTGTTATTTAACTTTTGGACATAAATGTCCTAATTGCATTAGTATGGGTAGTTTTGTCCATATAATATTTTTTTAATAAAATATAAGGCAAAGATGCGCATGAGATAAAGTTGTTCCTCATGTTACCCTCTCCTTTCACATCTTTCTCATCTCTCTACTTCTCTTCTTTCACTTCTCTATATATTCTTTGATAGTTTCTTGCAAATAGGTGGTCCTTAAACCAAAAAAAGAAAAACTAGGGTTTTGGTGGAAGGAAAGAATTGGAAAGTGCCCCTCAATAATTTATGACCCATGATGATGTGTGCTATTTGAAAGCATAGTTGTTGGGAGAGGGAGCGGGTCTGCGTGCGGTCACGGGTGCGAGAGCCCGGGATTGGCATATGGCCAAAGCTTATATATATGAATTACATGAATAAGGGAAAGTAAAGGGGGTGCCCCAAATATAT